AGCTGATAGTGAAAACTTGCATTTGATGCCACTAGAGTGGACATTTTCATTATAATTGTCCAAGTCCGATGCCAACTCCTAGGCTGACGCACGGAAGTTCAAGTAGTCGTCGAAGATCTTTAGTCGACTAACTGACTGTGGTTCGTCTCAACCTAATACTACACAAGACTATGTATTTGATACTAATGATTTAAGTAAGTAAATGTACGTTTTTTAAGTGTAGCTTTGTTGTTTTAATATTAAATGGCAGTTTGACTGAGAAATACATGAACATTAACCATTAATACATAGATGAACATAACTAAAATCAGTTAAAACAACAACATTCATACATAACATTACCATGAAAACATCAATGAAAACAACAATAATAAATACAAGCTTATTAATTTCCTTCTGGATAAAGTTGTTTGCAAGATTCAATCCAGTAATGCTTTTCATTGATCATTTCCTGCATCGCGAGGACCCTTTCGCTATGTCCTTCACAAGTTTTTCCTCAGCTCGAATCTCTTTTTGCAATTGATTTATAATATTCTTCTTCTCTTCGACCGCTTCTTCTAATTTACTCTGCCTCTCTCTGTTTGTCCACCAATCATCACTGATCTTCTTGATCTTCGCTTCAACTTTTTCTATGAATTTTTTCATCTTGGTAGGCATGGTTTGAGAAGACAGAGGGTTTGATGATGATGCATTTGCAACCATTTCTTGCAAGAAGTGGACAAGTAATTGTATAAGATTTAATATGGTCAGTATGAAATTGTGCTATTTGGTTACGCAAGGCATCCTATTTATACACTATCGCCCCTACCAAAGCTTACAAGATTGGTCTTGAAACCTGACCTATAACCCCTATGAATGTACTATCGCTCCCTACCCTTTAGTTGTCGTTGTGTTATCAAATCTGGTCATAAATTTTCCATGGAGTTGTTAAATCGTGTTTCACATTATTCGTCAATAAAGCTTTCAGGATTCGTCCTGAAACCCTGAACTATAACCCCTATGAATGTACTATCAAGAGACAAAGCTCTTACTGAAGAGTTAAGTGTCTCATATATAGAGCCTGTGTTGTATTCTGAGGAAGAACAACTCTTGAGCGCCAAAAAGCTTAAGTGCTTGACGTAGAGCCTCACTCCAGACACAGAGCCTCTTAGTGTCCTACTTCCACGGAATGCGCACATGTATTCAAACTTTCTCGCAAGACCTCTAATTACTTTGGGAGACGAATATCTTAGTCTTTTTCATCTAAGTCTGGAGGCAAAATCTGGAATACATCAAGAGACAGAGCTCTTACTGAAGATTTAAGTGTCCCATATACAGAGCCCGTGCTGTATTCCGAGGAAGATCAAGGCTTAAGTGCAAAAAAGTTTAAGTTCTTGATGCAGAACTTCACTCCAGACACAGAGCCTCTTAGTCTCCTACTCCCACGGAATGCACACATATATTCCAGACTTTCCCACAAGACCTCTAATTAGTCTGGGAAATGAATATCTTAGTCCTCTTCATCTAAGTCTGGAGGCGAAATTTGGAATACATCAAGAGACAAAGCTCTTACTGAAGATTTAAGTGTCTCATATATACAGAGCCCGTGCTGTATTCCGTTGAAGATCAAGGCTTAAGCGCAAAAAAGGTTAAGTGCTTGAGGCAGAATTTCACTCCAGACACAGAGCGTCTGCATAGTACATGCAGAGCCTCTTAGTCTCCTACTCCCACGGAATGCGCACATGTATTCCAGACTCTCCCGCAAGACCTCTAATTTGTCTGCGAAATGAATATCTTAGTCCTCTTCTTCTAAGTCTGGAGAGAAAATCTGGAATACGTTAAACGGAGTTATATCTTCACATGGACATAGTTGATTCATACGTTTGACGCAAATTACGCTTCAAACGCGGTTAAACCACGAATACGTGTAAGTAACCGTCCGAAGGGACACATGTCACTTATGTAGATCTATTTGAACCATAAGCGAAAATTGTGTCCGCATACATGTTTAGGCGGAAAAAATCAGTAACCGTCGCACATGAAAGGGCCACATGGCCCAAAAGTTACTTATTTATTAGGTGTATAGATATATTTCTTACAAGAAAATATAAGAACATTCGTTGGTTAATTTATGCGTTTAAAAAAAGTGGTAAAAATTGTAAATCTTCACGTAGTTTTCATATTGTTTTAAAGGTTGTCATGGTAGATTATGTCTACGGGTTATGGGTTGTGAGAGTAGAAATGTTTTATTTTTATTGAGTAAAATCATGACATTTGGACCTAAAACAGTTAAAAAAAAAACAGTCTAAATCATCCCCTATTTATTAAAAATACCTCTTATTTGTCAAATCGATTTATACACTAAAAGACAAAATAACAGTCAAATTTGAAGGTTGGATCGCCCCCGAGGGAAGATCCGGTGAGGTGAGGGTGATCCCGGTATACAAGACAAATAGTGTTTGGTCTCCTAAAATAGATATATGTGTGCACCACAAATTAATTTTTAAATATTTTTTTTGTACTTTTTTGGTCAAAGTTGGCTAGGATCGCCCCCATGGTCAAACCATGCCCCCGGGGGGCGATCCATGTGGTCGTTTTGGTAAAACCTGTAAAAAATGGCTATTTGTTAATGCATAAGGTAATTTCTGGTTATTTTCGTGATTTTCCCTTTTGTTAATAAACATATTCATCAAATACATCTATGTTTGTGTTTCAAAATCAAAATTAGTCTCTTCTCTTAATGTTGTTAGTCAAACAAGCGTTAATTCTATCATGTACCGCTCATAAGAGGGGGAATTTAGTCATTTTATCATTCTTATTCATTCTCACCTCCATCTCCAAGAACATTTATACCTGCGAGTTAGGCATGGCAACGGGGCGGGGATGGGGCGGGTTTTGCAATCCCCGGCACCGGTTTATAGCCACAGTCAACAGACCCGTACCAAGACCCGGTAAAATTAAAATTAATAAGAACCTTAAACATTTTTCAAGATGAACTCAATTATACAGATGTTGTCATACATAATACATATTTTGTTATACAGATGCTGTTATACATACATAACTCCATTATAATCCCTCCATTTCAATCCTCTAGTGTTTCCAATTTAAAATTGATACATACAAATGCTTGCTGTCATTCTTATGAACTTTATTGCAAAACCAAATTTATGTATTTACTGTTTAGGAAAGAAAGTTATTGCAAAACCAAATTCTTATAAACTCAAAGAACCCACATTAATTTTGAAATTAGTAAAACCAAATTTATGTATGTACTGTTTAGGAAAGAAAGTTACTGTTTTGACAAAAAAAAGACTGACTGGTGGCTCACTACTCGCTGCTGCAAATTGATGAAGAAGACGACTAGGGCGAGGGTTGTGACTGAGGAGGACGAGGGTTTGGTGTTGGTCGATTACTCGATTTAGTCGATTGAGAGTTTGAATGTTGGTCGATTAGACGATTACTCCTCGATTAAGTCGTGTATTGTGATGAGGACGAGCCGACGAGGGTTGTGAGTCTTGTGACGCTAGTCGACGGCAACAACAGTCTTGTGTGGTGTGTGCGGTGAGCCGACGACTCGACGAGGGTTGTGAGCCGACGAGGGTTGTAAAAGGGCGGAGGCCGACAGCGGTGCTGGTGAGCGAACTGGTGATTGTGTGATTTGTGAATGAGAATGAGTGAATTGTACATGTACTCGTGTTCGTGACTGATGATACCAAAAGCCTAAAGCCAAATCCCAAAGCCCAAATATGAAATAGTCAATATACATATACCCGATACGGGGCGGGTCGGGGGATATAATACCCGGCCCCGGTACCCATTTTAACGAGGGATCCCCGTCCCCGTCCGGGTCGGGTGAACCGGATTCCCCACCGAGTCGGATCAAATCAGCATCCTTAACACGAGTCACCACCTTCACCCACCTACCCACCATTGCCACCACCACAATCCAAAAAACAAAATCAACCTTTGAAAATCAAATGCAAACACAAAATTATGATTAAAATCCAATCCCAAATTCAAAAACAAAATCAAAATAAACCAAAACAAGAGGGTGATAGCAGTGGTGGGTGTCTTCAACCGCATGTACTCTGTGTGTATATATTATATTTATAATATAGTATACTATTTTATTTTTTAAACCAAAACAAGAAAAAAGAGAGAATAAAATGATTGATGGCTTGTTTGTTAGCAGCTTAACGAGTCTAATGTGACTCACAACTTGTTTGGTTAGCTATACATGACCGTTTTATAGTGGCTTAATCATATAGATAGTGACTTATTAAATAAGCTTTTAGAGAGAACTTTATGCAGAAAGTCAAACTTTTTTCCAGACATGCTTCTTCCAATTAAAAAAAAACTATTTTCATCTATAAAAAACCCTCTTAAGTAAAAAAGATTCTCAACCTATACAAACAAATTAATTCAAACAGACAACTATATCCATACATGATAATGAAAAACCAACGCGGTTAAGAAGAGGAGTTGTCTGTCTGGATAAATGGGTGTTGTTGTTTATTTTTTTATCTGAACCAACAATCTGAATAACATAAATGGCTGATTTACCCCCTAAAATTAATTATTTAAACATCAAAACAAAAAATCATAAAGAGGACGAAGATAGGGTGTCTCATATGGGAATGTGGCGATGCTTTAAATAAGGGGGACGAGTGTGATTTTTGTGGCTGAATGTGGACAACACACCATTTCTATCTGTACGATTAAGCCATGTTCTATGCAAATAAATCATAAGTAAACAACTCAAATGAACTATGCGAATAAGCCAGATAAATCCAATAAACCTAATTAAACCATAAGTAAACAACCCCTTAGTTGTAGCCGGAGAAAAAAAGCGAGCATAACTCACAACTAATCAAACCTATAACGGACGTTTAATCAAAGAAGGGGAAAGATGTTGTGAGGGACCAAAAATGTAATTTGCTTTTATTTTTAATTTTCTTTTAAAAACTTTGTAGGATAAACGTCGTAAATTCTCTAATTCATCCTCGCCTTTTGTTTTCGCATCTCTTTGGTTTCTTGATTAGGGTTTTAAGTTCTCCGATCACATCCTCGTCGAATTAGGGTTCCTGAACAAAGAAACAGGTATGTACAACGGAATCGGATTGCAAACCGCTCGCGGTTCCGGCACCAACGGTTACATTCAGAGCAACAAGTTCTTCGTCAAGCCCAAGACGAATAAGGTGTTGACAGGAAACGCTGGCGGCTACGAGGCGGGACAGGGTATCGCCGGCGTCACTCGGAAACCTAACAAAGATATTCTCGAGCATGACCGGAAGCGCCAGATCCAGCTTAAGCTTGTTATTCTTGAAGATAAGCTCGTTGATCAGGGATATACAGATGATGAAATCGCCCAAAAGCTGGATGAAGCTCGTACGACTTTGGAGGCTGCTTTGGCGTCCGAGGATGCGGGTGGAGCCACCGCAGTAGTCATCCACTCTGATCAGAAGTAATTTACAATCTTTTACTTTACATATACTTCAGATCTACTAATCCTCATTACTGAATGTTCATCTTGGTGTGAAATTTTGAGATATCTGTGTGTGATTATTTATCTGCCTTGTTTTTATGTCGTGCTATGCTAACCTACACATATATGAAGCTGTTTGGTTACTACCCTTATTGAAGTAGTCAGTCTGCAATTCAGACGTTCATGAAGCTAAGGTGACATTTGTTTTTTTAGGAGGTGCTGAAGTTGTACAAGAGGTGCTGCTGAAATCTAAAATTTGAATCAGTCAGGCCGTTTGTTTTTAGGTCTGAAATCCGAATTAACAAGACTGCCAGTTTTTTGTAAACCGGCAAACGTAAGTCTGAAATCTGATCAATAGTTTGTTTTTTTCAAGCCTCGACTAATCCTCTGGGGCTCTGAAATTAACGATCATGCAAACCCTCCAATAGCTCTAAGAGGACTTGACCTGATGACGTGCATAAAACAAACTCTCAAGGTCTTACCGGTTAAGCTACTCTTGATAGGTTTTGATGTAACCATTCTAGCCATAAAAAACATTTTCCCATAAACAAGAATCAAAAGAAGAAATAGAAGCAATGAACCAATGAATGTAGCATCCATAATACCAAATTTTGAATCTCAAACAAGATAATTTCAGTAAGAAATTTACACCTCAAAAACTTCCTCTTCACTAGTTGTTGACATACTATTACTTTGAGCTAAAAAGACCCAAAAAGACAAAAACCTATACTGGCAATTCATGTAACTAAAGAAGTAAAAATAACATCTATTCCCATTGCTAATGTTTCTGAAAAGCATAAAGAAGTCCAATGGAAAGTAACGTATCAAACCTTCGCCACTAGGGGCTCCAATTTGGATACATTGATCCTGTACTCAGCAAGAAAGCTGAAATGCAAAGAAAGACTCAAAATGTGAGAATCTTGAAATGAGATCAAGAGACAAGCAGAAATGATATGGAGTCACCTTGCTTGATCATGACTGTAGACGGGTTCGTGGAGCACAAACGTTTTGTCCTGGGGGCGATACAGTTCTTAGTGAAATCAAAACTTGACAGGATCGATGGTACTTAATCGATTTGAAGAGAGTATGATGCAACGAACCTCAAGGTATTTAAATGTAGTAGCATCACCAGGAACAACACCATTTTTATGCTTTGCAGCCTCAAAACTTTCTTCTGTTTCACTATAGCTATAGTCCAAATCCTATTCTAAAACTTAACATGATATATAAACATATATATGATCTAAACATGTATAACAAATATCAAGCAAGAAATCAATTGGTTACCTAAAGAATGGGAGGATCGACACTGAGAAGATTTAACAGAAACTTCTTGAAAACTTGAAACACAGATGATCTAGGAAAATCATACAGAAGATTTGGGGAAATCAGAAACAAAGAAGTATGAAAAAACAAACAAGGCACCATAGGTTTATGGGTAAGAACAAAAGGTTTGATTTGGGGAAATTAGAAACAAACATGTATCTTTAACACAATTTTTACATCTTTTTGTTATTGCAAATCTCTACTGTTATGTCTGTTTGTTACTGTGTGTGTGAGTAAGAGAGAGAGAAAGAGAGCAACCCAAACAGATTGATGTTGCACTCATTTCAAGAACAACTACTAAAAGCTATAAGCAAAGAACACAATATTCTTCCTAATTAACTACACCTATTCAATTCAATTCCTATATTCATCTTTTTCCCCAAAACTAACTAACTCACATATCCATTCAATCAATGCTTTTTGCTTAATTATGAATGTTCTAAAAGGGTTTCTTGATTCACCAACATAATAATAAAAGTAGATAAAAGAATTACTCTTGACTTGCAATTAGATCGGTGTTGTCTTTGGTTATTACTATGCAAAAAGGAAATTTGTCCACTACCAACAAACCTCAAGCTGACTAAAGATGCCACATCAATCAAGCTTGCTAATATTATCATAACCAACATAGAGATATCATCATTAACTAGAAATCGTAGGGTTTATATTTCATGGGTTTAAACAGTAGACAAATAACAAAGACATAGCATGATATGAGCAGAAGAAACCTATGTAGAAAAACAAGTGACTTCATCAAGATCTGGAAAGAGAGGAAGAAGAAAGAACAAAGGGAGACAGATTTGGGTTAATGGCAAATATCCTCAGAAAACCACACGATGAAATCAAAACATAAATAAAAAGGCAAAGATTGATTTGGGTTTAATAGATTGTACCATGTATGTATGAACGACTTGGGTTTAAAATTGGGAGATCGACATACCTTTTGGAGCTCGACATGCAGAGATCGATTTGGAGAGATCGAAAGCTTAAGAGATCGATATGGCTTGAGAAGTCGAGAGGGTTTAGGTTATCAGCTTGAGAGGCGAGGTCAAGATCGACATGTTATGCGAATAAGAGCTGGTTAAGTGTTTAGGGTATCACTTAAAAATCTTCAGAGGATGGTAAGAGCTTTTCAGCTCTTATTTTGGGAAAAAATCAAACAGTCTGAAAAGCAAAAGGTCTGACCGAATCAGACTTAAGAGGGTATTAGGTGGAGTTTTATAAAAAAAAACAAACAGGCCCTAAATATTTTGGCACCCCTGTTTGACGTACAGTATATTACTAAAATGGATGTGCAAACTCACTCTCTGGCTGTTGACATTAGTGGAAGTTCTCATAAGATAATATTTGGAAATCTATCACTCCCTCCTCTGTCAATTAGTGATCACGTTTTAACTGTGAATATCAAAGTGATCTACTTCCAAATTCAAAATTGATATGGTTATGTTATATTTTATAGGACATCAAATGGATCAATTGTGATAATCGAAGTCAAAGGATGACAAGTAATAGGGAATCCTGGGAGTACTATTTAGACACATTTGTATTTGTTATAGATATGAATAATAGAGGATAATTAAGATAAGAATCATACAACAAGGCATTCTTCTGATTTTATTAGGTTTAGGGTTCTAGTGTGTTCTATGGCTTTGTCCATAACTATGATATAGAGTGATTGACAATTTAATTATTTATGATTTCATTTCTCATGCTCTTAGCTCTTCTCATCCACTCTATGGGTTGTCTCGCACCATATTCAACATGTTTAGGATTTCAAATTTCATTTACATCTTGTTAAGAGATTTCATGAACTTTATTGGGGTCAACTTACTGTCAGTAGTGATCGTGGACTAGTTATGGCTAACCAGAGACATATCTTCATTTTTTTTGGAAATATGTTTCTTTTTAGAACAGACGTGGCACATTGTAGCAAACATTTTCTGTATGCACTTGGCAGTGATTACTCATAATAAGGTTATAATGTTGTAAGTGAAATCTAGGTTAAGGATTGATAATGATTCAGAAAGCAAGATTTACTGTCTATTAGTGGATACTATATTCGGGACACTGTTATCTGTTGGCAAATAAGATAGTAGACATGACGTATGTAAGTTTTTTTTTTGTCAATTTAGCCTTCATAAGTATTTTAAAGACAAGGGTCTCCACTAAAACCACAAAGAAGTCCTAATATTTGCATTAGAGGTTTGCTAAGAAACGAGCTAAATGGTGTAGAGGTAATCTGCAATTCTGCATACTTTCTCCCTCCCCAGACACTACTCCTGGGGAAGGTCCACAGCTGAGGTTGCTTTAACAATTATTTGAATTTTGGAACATGATTCTCATCCACTCTTTAAATAAAAATTTGGATTCTTCTATGCATTAAGGCATGATTTCTTCTTTTGTACTTGTTTTTGCTTCTTTTATGCTGGTTGATATTTTGATGAGCAAGCCAATTTCTAACCATTTCATGCATGCTTTTAGAATCTGGTAAGTATTTTTGTCATTTTTTTGGGCAACCTGTAATGCATGGTTGCTGGTTCAGGGTTTCAGATACACAGACTCACCAAGTAGCAGCACGTAAAGAGAAGCAAATGGAGACCTTAAAAAATGCTCTCGGGATAGTCCATGAAGATGATATGAAGAAGTATGTACCTGCCTCTGATGATGAAAAGATAGATGATGGTGATAAAGCAAGAAATAATAAAAAATATGATCCTCGTGTTGATGGTAGACTTGAAAAAGATACTAAAGTTGCTAAAGATGGGCTTGACGAGCTCAAACATTACAAGAAAAAGACAAGCAAAAGAAGAGAGGCTTCTTCCGATAGTGAGAGTGATAGCGACAGTTATGGTGATACCGATAGCGATAGCAGTAGGGAAGTTGTGAAAGCGAGTAGGAAGAAACCGCAAAAAAGTAGGGGAAGAAGTGACCATGATGAAGTCTCTGAATCTGACTCTGATGTTGATACAAGAAAGAGCAGGCGAAAATCAAGTAAGCACACCAAAGGTAGAAGACATGACAGCGATGATTCCGATGATACAAGAAAACATGCTCGAAATGTGAAGAAATACCAGTCAGATGAAAGTTCTAGTTCTGATGAACGTCCTACCATTAAAAGTGGAAAGGAGAAGCAGCTTTCTTCCAGGAGCAGGCGACATGATTCAGATGATGACTCTGATGCTTATGATGTGGATAAATATGAAAGAAGACAAATGGAGGAGAAGAGGAAACAAAAGAGAATTGATAGCAAAGTAGAAAAAAATATTTCCACTTCCAATGACTATGGAAGAGGCATTGATGATAGGTGGGATGGAGGTGGTAGCAAGCATGATGTGTTGAGTGATACCAGTTCTGGTGGAGAAAGAAGATGTGAGAAAGAAAGAATTGAAAGGGTGGGAAGAAGACGGCATGACAACGATGACAAAGAGTCTGACAAGAAAGAGGAAGTGGAGAGGGTTGGAAGGAGGTCGCGTGGAAATGATTTTGAGGCCTTTGACAAAAAAGACATAAGACCTAGAGAAGGGGAAGTTGAAAGGGTTGGAAGAAGGCAGCATGATATTGACCGTGAGATAAGATCGAAAATGGAGATGAGAACAAGTGAGAAAAGGCAGCGTGATATTGAAGAAGATGGACATGGCAAAAATGTAAGACGAAAAAAAGAGAGAGTTGAAAGGGGTGGAAGGAGGAGGCATGATAGTGATGATGGTGAGGAATCTGACATAGATGTCAAACACACAAATGAGAAACTTGGAAGGAGTGGAAGAAGGAGGCATGAGAGCGGTGAACCTGACATAAATGTCAGTCACACAAAAGAGAAATTGGAAAGGGGTGGAAGAGGGCACGAGGATCTTAATCATGAACGTATGACTGAGATACCAGTTAGGGACGAACAAAGACATAGGAGCAAGACTAATGATGATGAAGATGAAAAGTATCTGGAGGGCAGAAAAGAAAGTAGGGATGAAGAAGATCGTCGGGGTAGAAAGCACAAAAGAGATGAAGAAGATGCGACATTCATAAAGCATGAAAAAATTAGGGAGCATCATGAATCGAAGTATGGTAGAGAGCATGATGAAGAACATGGAAGTAGAAGAGGTGAGAGGGATCAGTCGAAGAGAAGCAGATATGATAGTGAGAGGAGGTATGAGAGTGGGAAGCATGACGTTGGACGTTCGAGGCACTGATCCTTTAATACGACTGTGAGTTTAGTTTGTCTTTGGCCTCTTTCAGTAATTTGTGTGCTCATCTTGTCAATCTGCTTTTGTTTCTCTTTTTTTGTCTCTCTTGGTGCTTTATTTGGCTGGTTACTTTACTTGTCGAAAAGATTGAAGATGCATTCTGGTAATTTGCTTTGCTGTCAATGCCAATATAATTGAGAGACTGAATATATCTATATATATATATATATATATCTATATATATATATCTATATATATATATATATATATAGGGCAGGTTCAAACGAGTCTTTAACTATTTAAGAAAACAAGAAAAAAGTTGTTAATGTATAAAATCATATATGATTCACGTAACAAATCATACATGATATGGGCGACTTTGCCCTGCGACTTAAGTGGCCTCAAAAGTTGCCCGCATGTGATTTTGTACATTAACGATCTTTTTCTTGTTTTTTTTAAATAGTTAGCGTTCTCATTTGAACCTGCCCCCCCCCCCCCCCCCCCCCCCCCCCCCTCTCTATATACACACACATAAGTAGAGCAGTTTTAACCTGTTGATGAAAATTCTAGTTTTCTTCTTTCTTGTGTGAAATTTGAAGTTGCAAAGTCCGAGTTGCTACTCATTGTTTGTTACAATACATCCTGACCAATTAGTTGCAAAGTATGTTTCGAATGAAATTTAGGCAAGTGTTTCTTCTGAAAGTTTGTTTGTTTTCAGGTGATGATTGGCTGGCTGGCAGTAAAATGTAATAATATCTTTGATGGATGGAGTGATGCAAGTAATATATGATGTTGTGAGATTTAAAATATTTGGGTTGTTTGTTGATATTTGTGGCATATCATCTTCACCCATGGATGTGACTATTTATTATTTAATGTTTTTGAATTGCATTCCTGGTTATGATTGCGTTTTAGTTTTTGGGGTCTGTTTAAGATTTTCCATTTTCTGGACTTGACATAGCCTCCTCTAACGGTTGAGAGTTTGGGTTAGATGCATCAAAAATGGACCCAATGATATACTTTCTAAATTTTAGATACCAAACTGGGGATAATGTATGAAACATTTAGGGAAAATTGCACCAAAATGGAAACTTTCACCTAATTCCTATTTTGGGGAACTAACTTTCAAAATCGTCATTTTAGATAATCAACTTGCATCTGATTCCTATTTTGGGGAACCAACTTGCAAAATATTTATAAAAAAATAACTAAAATTCGTTTTTTTTTTTTAAATTAATGCAATAAAATCTATTTTTCATTTTTAAAACTTATTTTTTTAATTCAGACAACATTTAAAAAAATCCAAATTACCACAATAAAAATTGTTTTTTTTACTAATGCAAAAAAATCAATTTACTAGAAAATATTAATTGATACAGATTGATTAGATATAAAAATCTTGAATGTGATATTTAATATTTATTTTTTATTGCATCAATTAATTTTTTTCTATTAACTTGATTTTTTTGCATTAGTAAAAAATAATTTTTATTGTGGTAATTTGGAATTTTTTAAAATGTTCAATTTGATATCTGAAATTAAAAAAAACGAGATTTGAAATGAAAAATAGATTTTATTGCATTAATTTTTAGAAAAAAACGAATTTTAGTTATTTTTTAATAATTATTTTGAAAGTTGATTCCTCAAAATAGGAATCAGGTGCAAGTTGGTTCCCTAAAATGACGATTTTGAAAATTGGTTCCCAAAATAGGAACCAGGTGCAAGTTGGTTCCCCAAAATGACAATTTTGAAAGTTGGTTCCTCAAAATAGGAATTAGGTGAAAGTTGGTTCTATTTTGATGCAATTTTCCCAAACATTTATTCATTACCTTATTGCATGGGTATCGAGAACACATAAAATTGCATTTCTTTCTTTCTAAAATGATGGAGTCATTGTAATCTCACAAACATTTATTGTGCGGTTTAAATATTACAGTTATATATCATGGATGGCAAATTGGCAATACAGCTAATTTATTTAACATTCAAAATAGGTTTACTCACATTTTATTTTAATATAATAAATTCACTACAGAATCTTGTTTGGACTATCCCGTTTAGGGGTTGTTTGTTTACCTTTTAATAGTTCCATTAAGAGACAACCTCTAAATCGTTAAGAGGTGAATCTTGTTTGACAAAAAAAATCTGCCTCTTAATGGTTCTAAAATCCTCTGAAAGATTTTGTATTCTGAATCTTCCTTGACCATTAAGAGTCCTAATTTCATTGTACACAATTACCAAACAATTATATTTTATTTTGCACTATATCATGAGAGTCTCTTAATCATTCTGCATCAAACCATTCAACAATTGTCAAACAACCTCTTACATAAAGAAAATGGGTTTCTTCATTTTTGAATTCGTGTAATTAGCTGCAGATAAACATAATCAAATACAAGATAAACATTGTATTTTAAATTAAAAAAATCTAAAATATAATTAAAATAATCATTGAGTTCTAACAGAATATTTAATGATTATCCTTATAAAAAATTATATTATTAAATCAACAATAAATTACTTCGTTATTAAATCTAAATTAAATTATAATAAAAAAATTAATTAAAAAAATTACACAATAAACAAGAACTTTTAAATAGTTGATTTGATATTAATATTGATATATTTATTTTCGAAATTTTATGATATTTTTAAATTTATATTTTATTCAAAAATAAAAATATTATCCATCTTTCAATACCGTATTAAAACATTTACAGAGAAGAAATAAACAAAACATTAAAATCAAGATATATCTCGCTGTATTGCGTGAGTAACCTTCTAGTACTCTTATAATTAGTTATATAATTTATTTCATACCACTTACTTTTCCATTTTATTTTACATTTTTATCATATTAAAATAAATAATCGTATATGAACTAAAATTATTATAAAATATATTTTTTTATAAATTATATAATTATAATCGTCTTATTAACACCTTTAAAATAAATCAATATTGAATATTTTTAAATTTTACCATATTATTAAATATCATAAATATGTAGCAAGTTATTTTTAAAACTTATATTTAGTTTGTTTTATTTTTCTTAATTCATACCCTTATCTATCTATACTATCTATATTATATTATAAAACATGCTAAACGGTTATTATTGAATTTTAAAAGGCATAAATTTTGATCAATTATGTACAATTTTTGAACCTTTACAACCTCCACGTTCAACATGATAATTAAAAATAAAATTATTTTTTATTAGTAAATTATACTTTATACCTTTATAATTAGTTATTTAATTTACCTTATATCTCTTCTTTTCTTATTTTTCATTTTACATCTTCTCATATTAACATATATAACTATATATTAACAAAAATATATTTAAAACGTTTATTTTTTTTATAAATTATACCATTATAATTGTCTCTTCAATACCTTCAAAATGAACCAAATATCGAATATTATTGAATTTAATAATATTATTAAATATGATAAATATGTACTGATGTTTTTTGGTATCTTATTTTTTTTTACACCCTTATCTATCGATACTATATTATTGATTATTATTGTTCAATTTTATCAGTCATCTATGCATTATTTACAAGTTTCTAAAGCCCCCACCTTATCATCCTCTTCCTTTTTGACATTATAAACTCGCACTATCTACACTTAATATTCACTCATCAACTATTTTATTTTCAAGACGGTGTATGTTAAAGAGGCTAATCCAACATTTTGTAGATACAGTAAATTGCTTAAACACACAGAGTAATTTCAATATTCAATACATCATGTCATTTTATATAGTTCTATTTCGATAAGTTCATCTACTAGTTTTTTCTTGTTTGAAAAGTATAATACTATGATATTTTTAATGTTTACAAATACCGTTGATCTTTCAAAGATGGGATGAAGACTGAAGTTGTCAAAAGAAAGTCTTCAAATTCTTTTGAAATTTAAAGATGAACTATTTCTTCAACTCCCCCCACCCAATTTTGATGGATGATTTTTATAGGCTTCAACCTTCGTATTTCTCATTTAGTTATCAAAATATCATTTTACTTACAAACAACATCATAATTTAAAGGCTAAAATATTTTATAAATAATTAATTAAATTTTTATTTACAAGAAAGTTTTATATTTAGCTGCATTGCAGCGGGTACAAAACTAGTATACATATATACATATACACACACATACACACACATATACATATATACATACACACACACGTATGTATGTATATATATATATATATATATATATATATATATTAGAAGAAACCACGGATTATGACATGACCTCTTTTCAAAGCTAGAAAGTGCTTTATCTTTTTTCTCCTTCAAACTTCTCCCACCTCAATATTCATTTTTATTTTTGATATTCACATGTAAGACCCTTTCATTATGTTACTCCAACATACTCATCTCCTCTCTAATAATTGCTTTTTTAATCTCTCACTATTCATTTCTCTTCGGTTATAGTTTTTCACATTCTCCTCATGGTACACTTCTATAATAATCTCTATCTTAATCTCTCAATTCTTCCTCTCTATTCGGTTATAATTTTGTGGAGGCGATTGCATTTTTTTGATTTGATGCATCATTCAAGAAGACAAATCATAGTATGAATTTTTTGCTAATATAAGTATAGTATTTCCTCTTTTAATTCCTTTGTAGACAACTGTCTTCCATTCTAGCACCTCTCAACAGGTGCTAGTTTCATCAAGTCACGGGGATGAACCACATCTGCTATCCACCTCTCACTCAGAGAGTGTGGATATTAAAGTAAGTAGATCGCGGCCCCAGTCTACGCCATCGTTTGTGTGCACATCGAGTCTAGCACTTGATACATCTATTATGACACAAACACCTGGAGCATATGTTGCCCAACCAACGGTTCTTCGTGAACACGCTAGAACATCCAGTGTGGTATCTTCTACAGATATTTCACAAGGACATGATGGAAATCCTACCAACGCCACATCTTTGCCAACACTGAATGTAGGTCATACAGTTGATTCAACTGTTGTGTCAACATGAAGGCTTAGTGCCACTGATGTTCCATTACCCGAAACTGCGACACAAATACTAGATGGTTCTCTAGCTGCGGTCTAAACCATGATGGGATGACGTCCCCTATCACCATGAGAGAGAGAAACGACAAAGAACCACCAACCATGACATCACCGACATATCCAAAGACCAAATTCCAGTGCATAATCGTTTCAACATCAACAGGGTCAAGGTCAGCATTAGCAAGCCGTCAACGGGGAACCAGAGCCAATGGTTGAAAAGTCGAAGGCTGCTGAAGTTCAAAGTGCTCAAATGCCTACTGAGGTCCCATGCCCAATTACCAACATTGAATCTGATGAAGAAGGGCCGCAACCGCATCAAATCAAAGAAGAGATTGACAACTTCTTCACGTTCTCTGACGGTGAAATGCTCGAAGAAAGGGATTTCGACCACATCAACGATCTCAAGAACGCCTTACCTGATTCACCTCAAAAAGATCGGTTGATTCCCCAACATCCAACAAGTCAGAGAACAACAGGATCAAGTAATCCAGCTGCATCATATGTAGAAAGAAAGTGGAAGAGAATGAGATTCAGAGTTCCATTCCTTGAAGATACAGAGAACAAAGTCTTCATAAGAAAAATTGAGGAATTGGATTTGGTTCGAGTTCTTCGGATCACTCACCTCAACAGCTTACAAATCATAGAATATATGCACACACTAAAAGCAAAGGCTCAATTGCTCGAAATGGTCAAATCAAGGCATAAGATCATGAGGATTAAGAACATCTACACTGATAGACTCGTGAACGTCCGTTTCCCAGTCTTCACCGTTCTCAGAATAGACGACCAGGAATGGAAGTTCACAGAAGCTTGCTTCAGGAACTTATCTTTTGAAGACTTCGAGACGATGTGCCTAGACATTCGCTAGTGGACTGTCAGACCGGAAGACGTGCAGAAAACTTTATAAGTTATCAAGCGCTTCATGCTCCATCAGATAATGCTTGGATACATATCGTACTTATGGTTGGGCATTGAAAGCAATCAACCAAAGATAAACTTGTTGAACCTGAAGTAGGGTCTGGAAGACATAGAGTCACTACCCTTATTCCTATTGATAGAGCAACCCGAGTTTGGCATTCTGTACTCCAACAATATCGGAGAAAATAAATTCATACGTTTCAGCGAGCTACCAGCCTACTTTGACGGAACCCTAAAGATAATCAAACTGAAGTTGTAAAACAAGTTGGAGCTGGAAAAAAAGGACTTGACAAGAACTTGATGTTGAATGCTTTGGACTTAATTGACAAGAAGCTAGAGTCACGAAGAATAATACGCAGATTCAAAGTATATTTTGGCCACTGCCTGAGAAGAAGAAGATATGTCTGGAGCGGCCTTTACTACAAATGGGGAGAATATTAGGTTTATATTTATGTTTGTAAAAAAGTAGAGTGACTAAATGTATAAATACCTTCAAGATATATATATATATATATATACACTATATTATAAATTGACAAAAACTCTTAAAAACCATTCTTTATGCATCAAGTATTGTTTATTAATGCATATTACTTAAAATTTGATATTACAAGTAAATTGTGCGTAAGTACATCTTGTTAAAGCTCGATATTGAATTCGTGTAACTAACTGTGGATAAACATAATCAAATAGAGGATAAACATCTCATTTTAAGATATAAAAAAATATAAAATATAATTAAGATAATTATCGAGTTCTAACAAAATAATTAATTATTATCTTTATAATAAAATTGTATTATTAAACCAAATATAAATTACTTTGTTATTGAATTTAGATTAAATTATAATAAAAAATTGAATTAAAAAATTACACAAAAAATGTGAAATTTTAAATAGTTAATTTTGATATTAATATCGATATATTTTTGTCAAAATTTTATGATATCTTCAAATTTATATTTTATTTAAAAATAAAAACATCGTTATTTTTTCAAAATCACAAAAGACCATATTATAACATCGATTGAGATAAAGAATAAAATAAAATATTAAAATCAAGATGTATCTCGCTGCATTGCGTGAGTACCCTTCTAGTGTGTGTGTGTATATATATATATATATATATATATCTTTCTAGCTCTAGAGTTGGTCAACTCATTATTTCGTAATATCAGCTTATTGAGAAGTAGCCTCCAAAGAGAAACTCTGTATTTTTTATTCCACGTTTGAATCAATAGACAAGCCGACTGATTTGCTATTTCCATTGTGTTAATCTTATTTCATTGTTTGTTCTAATCATCTAGGGAAACAATAATTAACTTTTATTTAATAAATAATGATAATTATCTCGTTAATTAATTATCTTAAGCTAATGGCTTAGCAATGAATATTATTGATCTCACGAATAAAAACTCATAAATGTTTGAAAACTATGCAGACTTATCCAAGTTGCCCAAATCATTTTATAAAGTAATGACATAGTTGTAATAAGGCAGAAAATTGACGCCAAAAATAAAGATGGTTGAAAGGGTAATTACGGTATGAAACTCAATAGCAAAATCGAGTTTCAAAAGTCGAGTTTGGGTCTGGATAGATACTTGAGCTCAACTATCATCATTTACATCCCTGTTTTTAAGTAGCTTGTTTCATTTCTCAATCAACATTCATCAATATATGTGTATTAACATATATTAACAACCCTCTCAAAAGTGATGTTTAGGTTTTAAATTTTAAATTCACAATGAAGAAGTAGAAGAAAATTAAAAAAAAAAAAATATGGTTGAAACATGATTCACCAACTGTTGTTCATGCAGAATTTGCTACGCATAAAGTACTCATGCATAGACTTGTTTCCTTTCCTATATGAAACAAGGTTATCTTGTTATGCATGATTACAAAAATAAAGACATATCTTATTGTTTGTTGATATATGACATCTTGGTTCTTCATTGTGGAATCTTCACAAACCTCTATACTCACCATCAACATTGACCAAATTACCAACTTCTGTCTCTCCAAATCTCTAATATGTATTGTTTTCTAACTAATTCAACTTCAGACCATCTACAACCCATTACTTTTGAGGTTTTGTAAAATTCAACCTTGAAAACCATTACTTCAAATTCAAAGAAATCTACCTGTACCTGGACTGGATATGGTTGCCTTGCCACCACAGCACAGGTAACTTGATAAAAACATTCCCAAACCATCCTCTCATGTATTGTGTGAAGTCAATTAATATTCTATAAATTGAAACAAAAATCATTTTTCTTTCTAGAAACAAAGATGATGTCATTACACTAATGGCAAGGATCTTATGCCCTTTTGTTTGTATTTGTATAGAATAGAATAGAATGGGGGTACCTGGTTCTGGTTCAAATTACTACCACACTTGACACTTAAAAAGGTTGGATTCTCTTTAAATACAAACAAAAACAATTCTTTGCATGCAACCCACTGAAAATAGCATCTCAATGTGACCATAAATTCTTTACAAGAAAACAATATATATAAAACCAATGCCTCCTTCAAGATTGCAATCATCTACAACCAACAATGTCTCTTTCAAGATTACACCTTTTCAATAATCATCTACAACCAACTATTAATTATGATAAGTAAAAGGAATTAACAATCATATTTTAATTTAATAATAAATATAAATTAAGAAACATCCTCTAAAAGGGTATGGTTTGCTCACATTGGGTCATAAAATTTACCAGACAGACAAAAACATGCAACATAAAAGACACTGCCATACCACATCAACACACAACTCATCACATTTTATATTATTATATACTTAACTCCCATGCCATTGCCATTGCCATTGCCAACCATTGCAAATGAAGGGTACCCATCACCTCACCTCATGCTAAAGAAAGAAATAACTCCATTTACAAAGGCAAAGGCAAAACAAATTCATACATGTATGCATTCCATTCAACCATCTTTGGATTCCCATTTAAAAAAAAAAAACCCAACATTTTTTCTAAATATTTATATTTATATATTTAAAAAGGAAAAGGCACCATATCCGAAACCCTAGATTTAGAGGTGTTCGTCATGAACAATAAGTAAGCACAAACCCAACTAAAAAGGTCTAATCAAAAACAAGCATTTGATTCTTCAACACAGACAGCAAAAAAGGTAAATAGAATACAGAGGTAAAAGTAAATGTGGGAAGGCACATTTACCATTTATCCTCCTGCATCAGATCAACGGTTGTTGGCATTAGGGCATTCACGAGCAAAATGCCCATCTTCACCACAGTTATAGCACCCACCACCACCACCACCACCGCCACCACGACCACCGCCATAACCTCCACCTCCGCCACCGCCATAACCTCCACCTCCGCCACCGCCATATCTTCCGCCACCGCCTCCACCGCTCTGAGAGCATTCCCTTGCCATATGCCCTGTCTCTCCACACTTGAAACAAGCGTTACCTCCGCCACCTCCATAACCTCCACCGTAACCACCGTCACCTCCTCCATATCCACCACCACGGCCTCCGCGGCTACCACCATTATATCCTCCACCTCCATAACGATCACCACCGCCTCCACGGCCTCCGCCGCCGCCGCCCCCACGTGTGCTTCCCTGCACAGGCGCCTCTTCAGGACCAGTTACGTCAGCAGCTTTGGTCCGTCCATCTGATCCATTCTCGACGACATACTCAACAGTTTCGCCGTCTCCGAGGCTACGGAATCCATCGGCCCTAATCGATGACTGATGTACAAAGAGATCTTCGCCACCGTCCTCAGGGGAAATGAACCCGAAACCCTTGGCATCATTGAACCACTTGACGGTTCCCGATTTCCTAACGCCGTCAGCCATATTTTTTTGTCTTAAAGATTTGAAAGAAAAATCTCGGAAACCCTAGAAATCGGAAACCCCCCAAAATGAGATGAGAGAGAAAACCCTACTCTCACTTTGCTCCTTCTTCCTTCCTCCCTTCCTCTCCCTGCTTTGTATGTGTAATTTGTGTATATATATAATCATCAAAAGAATTCCTAAGGGGTAAAAAAGTCTTGTCATCCGTGGTTAAAAGGATTCAAGATTGTATCCAACGGCTGGGGATGGAGGCGTTTCTTGCCGTTGGATCCACTTTTTGAATTATAAATTGATTTTCTTTTTAATAACATTAAAATAAAAACTATTTATCAACCAAAATAAAAGCCTACTTTTTTACACAAAGGAAGAGAGACAAAGAAACATAAGGAGTTCCTAATGATGTTATGTTCTTTTGCAAATCAAATAACTGAAGAATTGCTTTGCAATCCTCGATTATTGGGGCAAATGATGAACTCGATCTCATGCTACTTTGAAGGGCTTTGATCACAACTGGACACTATATTTCCACCATCACATATCTCCGGCTGTTGTATATATCCAACTCTACGCTTCATTGAGGTTGTTCGCTTCTGGTACAACTGGCCCCATCATCCCTCAGTGACTTGCTCTCCTCATACGAATGAACCTTCATTTATCTTCCCGAACAACACAACAAAAGACGAATCTCCCAATTTCTATGAACAAGTCTAGGTCAAGGTTGACCTTTATCGTATTACACACCAAACATCTCACTGTCTTGTGCATCTTTCCCGGCATGGATAAGTTCTATGGCTTTACCACGGAAACACATCAATGTCTATCATCCCCACCTAGCCCATATCTCTCCATGAACCCATTTTGAACCCTACCCGCTTTCTTCTCCTCTCTGATCCTCCACTCCTATTCTTCGATAACGCACCTTCCCAAGAGCCATCGTACTTGCAATCCCGGAATCTAGAAGCTATCTTCAAATCAGGTCAAACATTATGTCTTTTTAGATTTTGGTTTGTTCTATTTGAAGCTTTTTGATTTTCATATTTAGGCTTCACTGACTTGAAGCTTTTCGGTTTACACATTTGGGATTGTTAGATTTTAAGCTTTTTGATTCATAATTGAAGCTTTTTGACTTATACATTTTGGTTTGTCAGTTTTGTTGGGTTGATTCAACTTGTAAGACATGTCTATAAATGATAACTCTCATTTTTTAGAGTTATTTCTTATTTATTTATTTTTCCGTTTTTGCATATATTAAATACCCAATTTTCTTGTTTTTCTCCATTTATCCTAAAAGTTTTTTTTTAAAAAATGATGAAACACAAAGGATGAGAATTTATTCCAAAAACCATCACTTTGAGACAGTGCCCACAGTATCACCACAGTGGGAAGTTTACGAATTTTTGGATATGGTTCAACTTTTGGAGGATGTTTTCTTGAAGATATTTCTAAAAGATGTTTACAGGAGTTGTTCTGAAAGCTGAGTTTTGAATTAAAAAAGAATGTTGGATGGATCTTTACTCACAAGATATTTGAAGGCTTCATTTTCCTTTGGGTAATGAAGTTCATCCTTATCCACTCCTCCCCTATATAAAGAAGCCAATGGCTCATTTGAAGTACATCCCTATCTAGCACAATTCAGCTGAAGTCTCTCTACTTCTACTCTTAAGTTAAGTTTTAGCATTTAATTTTCTTGTATTAAGCTTCTTAATTATAATCTGTTGCTCACAGACTCACCACTGTGGCAACAGACTTGTTCTATTTTAATGAAAGTTACATTTAAGTTATATTTCTTGTCTTATATTATGTTTCTCATGTCTATTATGAGCCAGTTACTTCTATGGGTGTGTGTGTGAGTTAACTTAGGATTTTTTATGCAATAATTGAGTGTTTGTATTCTTTACCACTTCGTAAATTTGTTCACTTAAGTCGGGATTAAAACTCAACGCAGATAAGTCGATCACTTTGAAGTGTTAATATTATATCTTTGACCCAGAGATGGGCGAATTCGAGATACGGCTTAAGTGATGCACAAAGAACTTGAAAAAGTCTTTGATAACTACGTAGAGATACAAATTTTATATGTATTTAGCTAAGGATCAAGCATTGGAAATTTGTTTTTCAAAGAGATTTGAGTATAAATTTATTTCTTTTTCTGTTTAATTAGATCAACAAGTTTCGGAGTGATGAGAGTGGGAACTTTGTGGGATCTGTTTATAAATATTCACTTTCGAGAGATTGAAATTTTTATAAACATCTCATAAGTTTCTAACCATTATATTGTTGTTTTTATTTTAAGGAATACTTATACCCATATCCATCTTTTATTTTATAAGTCTATTTCGTCTTTTAAAGTTTTTCATCAACAAAAATCCAACTTCTATTCACAAACCGAAACAGGCTCTAGAAGTTCATGAAATTCCCCGATTCTCAGTAGTTCAATCCCTGTGGAAACAATCTCGGTATTTTACCACTCTATTACTTGCAAGCGATAATAGTGTCGACATGCACTTGCACCGCCACTGTGGGAAATTTGTACCCACTGTGTGAACACACGATTTATAGCTACCAATAAACAACCCATAACACACCCTTTGCCACAAAGCTCAAATTAGAGAAACCTTTGTTCGCTTGTTGAATTAGTTTGTTAAACCTTATGTAGGTGCTATTTTAATATGTTTTGTTTTGAAATTTCTTTACAAGTCTTTTCAATTTCATCAAAATAAGGCCTTTGGAACTTGAAAGCAAATTTTGGTTTGGTTTGGTTTGGTTTTGTTTTGGGTTTAGTTTTATTTTGTTATTTGTTTTGGAGATATGTTTGTGTTTTTATTAGTTTGTTAATTGTTTTGTTTGGATTTTTGTTTTCAGTTCAATTTTGATCTAGGTTTTTCTTTAGTTTGAGTTTGTCTTGTCGGAGAAGATGATCGGAGGGGTGGGCTGTTGCAAACGATGACGATCAGGGTATGGGAGGGGAGAGGAGGAGTGGGTGGGTGGGTGCATTAAAGGCACAATCTAATTCATAAAACAAAAAGAAAACAAAGAATAAAAAGACCAAAATATTTTTAATATAATTGAGTTTTTTTAACAAAAGTTAGTCAGAGGGATAAAAGTGTAATAAAATGGCAACCACATTAATATAAAAAAATATAATTAATTTAATGGAACACCCTAGTTTCTTTATTTGATAAATCTCAATATTTAAGCTTTAAATGAAAATATTTATGAGTAATTCAAGTACTCCAACAGCTGTTACATTTAGTGAAACATCTTAACTACAAGGCTAAACAAGCTAGTGATAAGTTGTTAAGGCTAGAAGTATGCTGGCAAGTCTAGTAAGCATGAATAAGCAATCTAGTGATGAGTTGTTAGGCTAAAAAAATATGAGTTTGCAAGACTATTGATTACAAAACAAGTCTAGGAAGCATGACAAGGAGTACTAGAAGCATGAGCTGTTTAGATTCTCTTATCCTTAGAGATGAGTTGTCTAGATTCTCTTATCCTTAGATGAGTTGTCAAGATTCTCTTATCTTTATAGATGAGGTGTTAAACTCTCATAAGAGTACAATCATGAGAGCAAAAAGAACAAGTAATTAATGCAATGAATTTATCTATAAGTAGAGATTGAAGGGTCACTATTTGTGCATACAAAAAATAAGAAATCTTTCTATATATATACATAATTAAACTCGACGAAAGGAATCAAAGGAAAAAGTAGGCAAAATCAAAGTGAGTACTTATGTGATTTATGAGATACATACATGTTATATATAAAAGTATTTTATATATATGGCATGCTTGTTTTACATGAAAATATTGATATACATACATATTCAAGATATACATGATAACATGTTCTAATACAAGTATACACACAAGACATGAAAATCATTTACATGTTATCATATGTGTTACGCAAGGCATGAAATTTTTTACATGTTATGTATAACCATAATATCCAATGTACATGATATTACAAGAAGAAAAATCTTACAAACTGTGACAACTCTGCATTTTGGAATTTCAGGTTAGTATCTCATTTTAGAACTTTTATTGAAAACTAAGTCTTTCTAGGATTTAGCTACGATAATCTAAGATCATCTTGCTCTTCTTCCAAGATTAGTTTGTTAGGTCACGTTTCGGCGGGTAGCTAACCAAGTTAGTTCGTGCAATGCCAATTAAACATTTCACATAAAAATAAAGTCGATATTTTCGTTTCATTCTTTTTAAAATTTAAAATTCCAAAGTTCCAATCTTTTATATTTGGTTGCCAATTATTAATTTGAAAGAAGGGTGTTTAAATCTTTTGTCAAAAATGTTTTGTTCTATTTATTGGGGTCTTTTATTTTGTACTTAAAAGTCTTTTTGGGCTTGGGCCTTTAAAGGTCAGCCCATTCTTTTCATTGAATCCACATATAAATACCCCCCATTCCCTTTTGAAAGTTCTTCACTTTCCAGATTTTCAGCCATTTCATCTCTTTCTCTCTCTCTCTAATTCCATCACTTTCCAACCGATTCCATCTTCAAGCAAAACTCAAGATTTCCGCTATTCTTGAGACTAGTTTGTAGTCAAGAAAATGTATGTTTAAAGCTATTTACTTCTCTTTTTGATGTCTGAAAGTCTTTATCTTTCTCCCTACTCGACTTTTTGACTATATACGAGATTTAAAGAGGAGAGATTATTCATCAAAGACCCACCTGTGTCTTCGTTGGGGACGATAATCTRTGACYCAAGTYCTTTAAATCTCCAAGAAAGAAGGAAAAATTCCTTGCATGTGAGGTCCGATCACATTTTCGGATGATAGGTCTTGCATGCAACTCTAATCGGATTTATCCCTTTGAAAACTTGCTGGAATCGGGATTTATTTTGTTTTCTGGAAGTTATTCAAAGATGATGGTTTTGTGTTAGAATCTTTTTAATTCTTGGAAATATTGAGCTACATGCAATCGGTGATGAAGGYGTGTGGCTCAAGAATTGTGGATTATTCTTGAAAAGAGTGTCAAACCCACTCAAAATCCCTTGGTTTTGGTAATTGGCGGCTGCCATCATTTGTTTTGGGATGACATTTAATGATGTCATTATTTGGATTTTTGGAAGGTTCCTATTTAATAAATAATTAAATCGGC